TTTCACAGAAGAAATTATCCAGAGGAAGTAATAGCGACTCTCTCTACTCTTTTTAAACAGTAGAACTTTGTTGTTTATCTATTTTTTTAGGAGTTAGTTTACAATGTGTCAATTTCTGGCGTACAGCATAATGTTTCAGCCATGCATATAGGTACACACACTCCTTGTCACATTCTTTTTCATTATAAGTTACTGCAAGATATTGAATATAATTCCCTGGCCTATACAGCAGAAACTTGTTGTTTATCTCTTTTATATATAGTAGTTAGTATCTTAACTTTGGTTTTTAAAATAAAATATGTAACTGGAGAAAATATTTGACAAGCAAGGTTGTTAGTGACCCAGCCCCAGCCAACCTTACCAGCCTCGTCGCCCACCTCCATCCTGCCACTTCCCTGATCTGACCACACTGGACCCCTCACCAGGCTCCCTCTGCAAAGGCTCCCCCTGCCCTCCTCCAGATAGACTCACAGCAGGCAGAAGAGCCGGGTTTAGTCAGGGAGACTGATGGAAATGCCAGACTAAAATACACGGTGGAAATGGCGAGGCCGCCCTGAGAGCGTGAGAGAAAGCTGCTCGGAGGAGGAGACAGTTCACCTGCACCTTGAAGGACGAGAAGGTGCTCACTGGGCCGAGAAAAGCAGAGAGAGAATCCCAGTGTAAAGGCTGTTAAAGGACTTTTGTAAACTGTAACCGGGACCTGCGCTCTACAAAGTTACTTCACTCACAGACTCAGCTCATGGACCAGCCTCTGGGGTCAGGGTCCGAGCTGGGATCCAGTCCTGGCTCTGCCCGTTCAGCTGTACAAGGGAGCTGGGAGTGGGGAGACGGGAGACACGGGACCCTCTAAATGAGACACGGGAACGCCTAGACAGGAAGCGCCGTGTCGGGTTTTTTCCTACCACAAACCAGACAGCAGGGGTTCTGGGCGCATTCGGGGTTCACGTGTTGTCCCCAGGTGTGTTATTGGCTCCATTTTACACTCAACTATGAAACTGTCAATGATGCTGTGCTGGTATTTATTTAGATTATTGATATAAATATATATAAACAGGGGGAAAAGAGACATATTTTAATTCATACCCATGGAGGTCTCCTAAAACAGAACCTGAGAAGTAGCCAAAACAGGCAGCTTCCGGACAAAACTTACTTCTCCTAGAGAGAGAAACAGTAAATTTGAGAGAAACTGACAAGATAAAGAAACTGGGTGATTCATTAGCAGGGAATTTAAACAAAACTTGGGCTTGGGTAGTAAATTTGTCTGATGTATTTTTAAAATTACATGATACATTCAAAACCTAGGGCACTACTCCTGGGAAATTAAATTAATAACTAGAAAAAGGCACCAGCACATAGATATTTCAATGAAAAACGAAAACCCAGAACAACTCCAATATCTAAGGGAAGAATTTTTTTCAAGAGAAGAATAAGTTATCAGTTATCTCTGGTTGGGATATTGTGCAACCATCGACAATTATAGTTTTGAGGACTGTGATGCATGGGAAACACTCACATCTTAAGTGAAGAAACAGACCTCGGAAGTACACATACATTATGCTTATCAGACAATCCAGAAGCAATAAAAGCAAAGATATTCATGTTTGACTATTTAAAGTTTTAAGTTTTATGACAAAAAACACTTAAAAAGTTAGACAGCAAAAGGATAGGGCAGAAATAAATTATAATGCCTACAACAAAGGTTAATATCTTTAGTCAACAAAGAATTTCTCTAAATCAAAATCCAATAGACATGTGGGTAAATAGTATGTCCAGACAATTCACAGAAGAGGAAGTCCAAGAATCGCAGCCCCCGCAGTCCGGGAAATGCAAAGCCAGGCAGTGAGGAGATACTCACATTCGTCTGTGAAACTGGCAAAACTGAAAAGAGGGTGAACACCCAGTGCTCGCAAAGGCTCAGGGAGAAAGGCAGCCTGCTCATTGCTGGTGGGGGTGTGACAGGCTGTGGCCCTTCGGGAAGGCCATTTGGTTCTCTCAAAATTACCCAAAATCAGAATGAAAAGGAAGAAACCGCGGAGACAAGACGACTCTGCAGGGCATGGAGCTGGGTGGAAGAGTCGAACCTGGACGGCCACACCTGGGTGACCCCAGGGACGTCGAGCCCGAGGAAACCAGGGAAGGGGGGGGGCGCACACGGGCGGTGGAGGGAAGGTGCTTCTGTGAAGGTGCGAGAGGGACCTTTGGGGGAAGGGAAGTCATATCTGGATTGTATTGGTAGTTACACGGGTGTATGCATTTGTCAAAGCTCATTGAATCACTTAAAACAGAAGCATGGTATTGCATGTATGTGATATCTCCACAAAGTTGATTTAAAAATTTAAAAAATAAAATAAATAGCGTTTGTCGATCTTGCCAGTCCCATTTTGGAGAATGAGGCTCACAGAAACAAAAGTACCAGCACAGAAGCATACACAGAGATGGCTGTTTGGCTGCAGCCTTGTATTCAGAGGCAACAAGATGGAAACGACAGGAATGCTTATCCTTAGGAAAACACCTGAATAAATTATGACAAACACTTACTGTAAAATATTGTAAACCTATTTAAGAGAATAAGCTAAGGGGGAGAGGGTACAGCTCGGGGGCAGAGTGCATGCTTAGCAATCCCCGGTACCACCATCACAAATAAACACGAACCAGCCAAACAGGAGCCCTGATCCGTATTAGTGCATGACGCATAAAGGGGAAAACTGAGGGCAAGAAAATTAAAAAAAAAAAAAAAGAGTAAGTGAGTGATAAATCGGGAGTTCGAGATCTGTAGACTCTAACTACTATTTATAAAGTAGGTAAACAATAAATTTATACTGTATAGCACAGGGAACTATATTCAATATCTTGAAGTAACCTATGATGAAAAAGAATATGAAGATGCATATATGTATCTGTTTGTAAGATTGAAACATTATGCTGTGCACCAGAAATTGACACGTTTATTGTAAACTGACTATATTTCAATACAAAAGAATGCAAAAAAAATCATTTATGACAAAACAAAGCAAAAAAAGGAATAAGTTAAATTAGTATCTATTGACTTTGAGGAATATGCATGCTATGTTATAAAAAAATGAGAAGTCAAGAAATGCACATAGTATTCAATTTTTATAAAAATAATGTATTTTTAAAATATATTGTTTATATCTGATAGAGGAAACTACACGGACCGGGCACTCTAGGCTGTTAATATTTATTACTTCAGGGGATGGAGTTACTGTAGGATGTGGGGGCAGATATAATTTTTCTTTCACAAAATTTTGCATTGTTTCACGTGTAACAAATAAACATGAATTACCTTCATAATTCTTTCAGATCTTAAGGAAAATTTAAGAAAAAAATGATAAAAAGAGTATAAGGAAACATTGTTTTAGAATATAAAGTAGGATGAAAACATTAAATTCATGCTTTTATTACAACTGTAAAAAAGAAATGTGAATGTGGGTAAGGACTGTAAGGAGGACTCAACACAGGGTTTTGGAGTTTTGTACAGTGTAGGAGTATGTATTCTTTTTTTCAAACTTGTGAGTGCTTGTGGGCAACAACCAGAATAGTTCTATTATGTAAAATATGCAAATACGGATGCAGTGAACAAAGTATAGATGGAAGATGCAAAAATTAAAGTGGTTTAGTAAGGGTGGCAGGCTTATGAATATGTTTATTTCAGTTTCCCCAAACTTTATGTAATATCACCACGTCTTGGAATAAAAGTAACTCCACCCTCTGAGAAGCTAGGTTCTCTTTTCTGGAACTAATGATGTTAGAAAAGACAACACAAACATTATCGGCTCTGTCAACATAAACCCTGGAAGAAGGCTGACATTGTTGGGGTTTCTTTCTTTTTTTTTTCAGTTAATTTTTTTGGTGGGGAGGTACTTAGGTTTACTTTTTTATTTACTTTTTGGAGGAGGTGCTGGGAGTTGAACCCAGGACCTCGTGCATGCTGAGCATGTGCTCTGCCACTTAAGCTACATCCTCCCCCCTTGGGGGTTCCTGATTTTTATTTCCTCTATTGTTACCCTGCAGAAAACACAAATCAAGAGTAGGGGGGAATACTTTTGTGTTTCTCCAGTTCCCAGACGTTCTATCTTTTTCCAATTACAAGGAGTCTCTCTTTTAAATACCGGCTGATGGGGTCGTCCCTGAGACACTTAACTCTGACCTTTGCAAAGCAAATTAGAGACCACGTGGAACTGTGAAGGCACTTGGCCTGGGTGAGGGTTATTGAGGATACAGGCTCACACCGGGTGACAGCCCCACCCCAGGGCAGAGGGTCACTGGGACAGCCGCGTGGAGGGGACACTGAAGTGGATCTGAGGCAGGCTGTGTCTGGAAGGGGGTACAGGGCTTCCCTGGCAGTCTCTGCCAAGCTAGCAGGCTGCTACCGCCCGCAAGGATGCTTTTGCCAGGTCTAAACATGGACTGCAGATTGAACATAACCCAAGCAGGTCACTTTCCCTGCATTTTAAAGGTACACTCAATCCTAGGATTCACATGGTTCAGATCAGCAGGAGCAGGGGACCTCTCAGGGGTTGAGAGAGGCTCTGGCCACTGCTAATTTGGTTTTAGAATATGAAGAAATATCAAATCAGGTTTCAAAATTATGGTGTATTTTAAATGTTTAAATAATTAACACTTTTAACACACAAACATTGCATTTATAATAGTGCTATTCTAAATAGTCAACTATAGAATTATATATACATATATATGGATGGAGATGCATTTATTTCCTTTTTGGAATGTATAGATATTTTTTAAAATCAGGAAACAAGATGAATTTATTTTAAAATAGTATATTAATTACATTTTCAAGTGATATGTTTAATAAACTTTTCTTTAACCTCTAGCAACCTTTTCAGGTAAAGAACATCTAAATTTAAAGTAAGAGATCCAATTGTTCATTTGAAAAAATACAGCAAAGACACAGGGAAATTTTTCCATGTATATATACAATACCCTGTCTCTCTCGGTGTGCTCCAAGTGGTCTGCTTTGATAAAGGAAGAGAAATTCGAGGTAATGTGATAGGTGTTTTCTTTTAATCCTTCTTTCAATCTCTGACTCATGCACATCCTTGTATGGAGATGAAGCTCTTGGAGCATGCGCAACCTGGCCAACTGCCCAGGGCAGGCCTGCTACCAGACAGCAAGAGCTGCAGGGAGTGGAGCTGGCAACTTGGCCTGGAAGGCTCAGGCTGGAATTGCAGTTCTGCTCTTTCTGGTGTGACTCTGAGCCTATGTCCTCCTCAGCGAGGCAGAGATAGTAATAAAACCTTCTTTGCAGGGCTGGGGAAGATTAATCAAGATAACGCAAAGAATGGCACTCAGCACCAGATTTAGTACAAAGGTTGCTCGAATGTTTGCTTCCTTGGACCAGCTCTCGCTGACTGGACGGGAGGATTACACTGGATGACGTCTGCTGGTTATAATTAGAACTGGGTAACAGGGCCCCTGAATCTGTGTCAAGACCGCAGGTCTGTGTGTAGGACGGTGGTGTTTGGAGGTCTCTGCACTGCCTCCCAATTTCTAGGTCAGGGATGTTAGTCCCCACATGCTAGGATCTTCTTAAACTTCCATCTGAGCTCCGCCCCCTTTTTCAGAATATCCTGAAAATGCAGAGGAGAGCATGAAAGGGGCAGGTCTCTGAGCAAGGAATGGCAGGTCACAGCTCCTGACACTCAAGGAGCAGTTCAAGGCTGTGTCCAGAGGCCCAGCAAGGCCCCGGCCGCTCCTTCCGGCCTCACCCCCGTTTCCTACACGTCAGCGCCCTGGCCTACCCCTAGAACATGTCAAGCTGAGTCTGAGTCAAGGTATTTCCCTGCCTCGTTCCTTGGCCCTGGGGTCACTCCTCCTAGGACATTCTTCCCCGATCTCCACACGGCAGGCTCCCTCCCATCACTTAAGTCACGCTAATTCAAAAAGACACATGCATCCCGATGTTCATAGCAGCACTATTTACAATAGCCAAGACATGGAAACAACCTAAATGTGCACTGACAGATGACTGGATAAAGAAGGTGTGGTATATTTATACGATGGAATACTACTAAGCCATAAAAAAGAATAAAATAATGCCATTTGCAGCAACATGGATGGACCTGGAGGTTGTCATTCTAAGTGAAGTGAGTCAGTAGAGAAAGACAAATACTGTATGATATCACTTATATGTGGAATCTAAAAAAATGATTCAAAATGAACTTATTTACGAAACAGAAAGACTCACAGATGTAGAAAAAAAACTTATGGTTACCAGAGGGGAAAGGGAGAGAAGGGGTGAATTTGGAATTTGGGATTAACAGAGACAAACTACTATACAAAACAGATGAACAAGAACCTACCGCACAGCACAGGGAACTGTGCTCAGTATCTTGTAATGACCTGTAACAGCAAAGAACTGAAAAAGAATACATACATATATATATATATATATATAACTGAATCACTTTGCTGTATACCTGAAACATTGTAAATCAACTATAATTCAATAAGAAATTAAAATTAAAAAAGAAAAAAGAAAAGAACTAAAAAAACTAAAAAAATTCTAAAAGAGAACCACATGGAGGGACGGGTGAGCCCAGCCAGCCCCCCTGTTCCAGCCGTTCCAAGGAAGGTGCTGGGAATGTGAGTGAAGGCCTTCTCCTGGACAGTCCAGCCCCAGGAGGGACCAGGCAGGGCAGCAGGGTGGAAGGACCACTTGGCCGAGCCCAGCCCAGAGTGCAGAGCCACGAGAAATAAGAAATCATTTTGTACATAAGTTTGGCACACTCACTGCCCAGCAATGTGCAGCTGACACACCAGCTTGCCTTCCTGTGTGAACGGCTGTGAGTCTCCCCCCGCCCTCCACGGGACCGTGAGCTTGTCTCTGTCTTCCCCACTTTGCCTGGCATCTGGCACAAATTAAAGTCAATGGTTCCTTCAGAGATTTACTGAACTCCTCTCCTTGCTGGTGTCTGTACTACTTGTGTGGGGCTAGGGGTGTGTGTGTGTGTGTGTGTGTGTGTGTGACAGGGAGCAGGTACAAAAATCAGTAGTGACCATTCCCTCCTCTAACACGTCACAAAGCTGCTCCTTGAGGTTGCAGATCACACCCGACTCCCAGCACAGCAGCCCAAGTGACGGACATGAACATCAGTGTCCAGAGAGGTCAAAACAAAGGTCTGCGAGAGCCCAGGGGAGGCGCGCTGACTGTCATGGGGACACGGGGGGCACGGGGGTGGCTTCTGAGATGAGCATCAGTGTGTTCCAACTGCTTTTTGAAAGTCCTGTAAAGTCGGCCACATCATGCCAGTCATGTTCTCTGCAGCCTTTAAGGTCATCCCAGAGATGTTAGCTGGGCCGTTTCCCAGTTTGTCCACGGTCACACAGCTGGGGGAGCCGCTGGGGAAGCGTGAGTGAGCTTCCTGCAGAGTCTGCAACCAGGCCACTGCCCTCTCCCTGGGCCTTACCTCCTGGACCCTCTCCCAAGGCACCTGTCGCTCTCCGGGGGACAGAGAGAGAACGGGTGCGTCTGCCTAACGACGTTCATTCACATCATAAAAAACAAGACAGACGAACCCTCCTCTATACGGCCCCAAACCTAAGCCTGAGTAGAAAGCTTCATTTCTTCCTTTCTTTTCCCCTCTTGGATGGAATTAGGTTAATCTCAAGTGATGACACCGTTTATTTCAAGTAGATTGGAA